CTGCCGCTGGGCTCCCTCCTGCTCCTCTGAGGGCCCCGGGCCCCTCGGGGCGCCTTCTCTCTGCCGGACACTCGGACGCTGACAGCCGCTTTGTACAAAATAAACGTGTATCTGTTTTTGTAAACAAGGTTTTGTTTCAGTCCAATGTTGGCAGAGAGGATAGTGAATTATCTGTCACAGTAAAGAATGTAAGATTTTGTGTAGATACCTTCAAAATTCTATGGAATGGTGTTGTGTAGTGTTTTACGACGTGGATAGTCAATTGCATTTCATATGTACCACACACACCTGTTGGGAAATAATGAATGAATCACTTTATGAAGTGTTAGAACTAAAAGGTGCGTGGTTATCTATTTAAACTATTCTCACTTTAAAGTTTGTTCATTCCACAACATCCATTGAAACCGTTTTAGGGCATTTGTTACTTTTGAAGCATTGTTTAAGACCCTGGATAAGAAAATGAGGCCAAGAAAAGTGAAATGGCTTGTCCAAGATCAACAATGAATTATTAGTAGGCACGCCAATCTCATACTCTTAGCTACATCTTGCTGGAAAAAAATGAAACCATTTATGTTCTAAGTTTAAATAATAATCATATAATAGTTTACAAGCATTAACTTGTTTAACTTTTAAAACAACACTATGCACTGCTATCCCCATTTTAAAGATGAAGATGGTAAAGCACAGAAGAGCAGAATCAGGATTTGAACCTAGGCCATCAGTATTTCACTCATTATTCTTATATATGTGATACTACAGCGTCTAAAGGGCTCAATTCATTAAAGTTGTGAGATTCTGCAACTTCTCTCTGAAATTGTTGACTCGAAGGTTGGTGTCTCACATTCCTCACCCTCTGGTGGAAATGCAAATTGGTTGAAATGAATTATTACCTCATTCTAATAACTTCAGGAGTTGACATGAACTGGTGGCTATACAACTCTGAGGAGAAAGCTAACTGGCCTCAGAGTCATAGAAACAGGATTACCATCCTTACTGGCACCAGCCGAGCTAATCTGCTGGGACAAGCAGTCTAGAGTGTTCATATAATATTGTTCTACCTCTGGCTTCTGATAATTATGATAGATTTAATAATCCTATGTTTTAAAGGATGATTTTCCTTCATCCCTCACATTCATTGCTAGCCAGGCATATTTCTTCCTATCTTATGCATATAGGAAGAAAATGTGCCCTAAATGAGGGTTGAAAACATTGAAAATATTTAAATATGTGGTATGGTGTTAAGTGATTACGTTATCAGTAGTCATATTGGATTCAGAAATAGTTTCTGCTTTCACTAAACTTTTTGACAGTTTTATTCATTGGTGCTCTTAGAAAATGCTATATAGAAAAGTTTGAGTTTCTGTCTAGTCTTAGGCATAAGCTAAATACAGGTTATTGTGATGGGTATTTACAGTGAGGACCATTGAACAATTGTGAGGAATAGCTGAATTCTTTGAATCTATCAAAATCAACCACATCCAGAAGCTTGCAGTGGTTGACCAAATGAATGATAACATACGGTAGCTTGGATGTTTCCTTGGTCTTCAAGCCAACAATTTTAATTTATTTTAATGTATAACCTTCTTCATGATTTTAGATTTTGGTAGAGTAACTACTGCAGAGTTCACGTATGTAGTACTTTAAAAGGAAAATAAATGGAGAGAAAAAACAATTTGGCTGTGTTGTGGGTTTTTATTTTGCCGTTTTTTTAAAAAATAAAAACAGATTGCATTGACAATTTAAATAGCAAGACCTTATTCCAGAAAATGTTTAAATCATTATTGTCACTAGATTATATACATGTCATTTTATTAAGTAGATGTTTCCAAGAAAAGTCAACACATTTCAGGGACCTAAATTTTCCATGAAATAATAGTGATTATTTTCAAACAATCTCCATTTATGCCAACTTAAGAATGATCAAATAATCTAAGAGCTTAATCAAGAAGATTTTAAAAGGACTGAAATACAATCATAAGTCATAAAATCATGGAATTTTATAGTTTAAAAGAACTTTAGGGGGCCGGCCCGGTGGCGCACTCGGTAGAGTGCCGCGCTTGGGAGCGCGGCGGCGCTCCTGCTGAGGGTTCGGATCCCATATAAAGAATGGTCCGCTCACTGGTTGAGCGCAGTGCGGGCACCACACCAAGGGTTGCGATCCCGTTACCGGTCACGAAAAAAGACAAAAAGAAAAAAAAAAAAAACAGAACTTTAGAAATCGTTTTGTGCAAATCTATATATCACAGAAGCGGGCCAGAGAGGCCCATTTTACATTGCCCCAGATCACACAATTAGTAAGAGCTGGGACTAGAACCAATTCTGTTTTCATTTTACTCTTCAACCTAATGGGTCTTTGTACCACCACTTGCAAGAAAAGAGATAAATTTGTACACAAATTATTTTACATCACAGAACTAATTTGAACATTTTGCATTTAAGAAATCTTTTAAAATAGAAAATTTTTGTGATAGCATCAGTCTTTCTGGGGGCAAATTTAAATTTGGCTTCTACTTCGGTACCCTCTAGCGGATCTCTCGTGTTTTATCAGTGGCTCTATCTTCTTTGTATTAGACCATCTCAACTAAAAACCAACCTAATGCCAGAATCCGATGTTCTTGGAGATGTTTGCTAATATTAGATTGTGGTGAAGAGTCACATTACGAAGTAACTAAATACAGCTATCTGAGAGGAGAAGGTGCAAAAAATATCTTAGATTAAAAAGAAAAAAAAAGAGAACTTTTCTCAGTAATAATGAAGGTGAGAGTGTATGGCAGTGGCAAGTTGGTTGTAGAAAACTGATTTAAAAGTTGGGCCGGCCCGGTGGCACACTGCTATAGTGCGCCGCTTGGGAAGTGCAGTGGCGCTCCCACCAAGGGTTCGGATCCCACATACAGACCGGCTGCTCACTGGCTGAGCGAGGTGCAGGGGCAACGCCGAGGGTTGCAATCCCGTTGCCTGTCCCGGTCCGGTACGGGTACGACACTGAGGGTTGCGATCCGTTGCCGGCCACGAAAAAAGACAAAAAGGAAAAAAAAAAAAAGTTCACATGTTTCTCACTGGGCTTTAGGTACCCGCATCTTCTCCACCAATGATGTGGCATGATCTTGCCTGTTTGTGATTTAAATATCTTAACATATTCAAAGAAAAAACCTACACAACAGACAGGAAGTATGACAGTTTAAATAGCATTAGTTGAGTAAACATTCAAAAATCACTGCTTTATCACTTGGTTTTACAAGATAGTGCATTCTACACCTAAACTACTAGCTTCAATATGGCTCAAACATTCCTAAAAGATTATTTCTTTGACTCTAATTTTCTTTCCTGCGCACTTCAACAATTCACAAACATTCTCCCATATTCATTCCCAGGATTTAGGTAAAAATGCTATTTTTGATCAGACATTTGCAAGACAAAGCAAAAAGTGGGTACTGTATGATCTCTATAATAATAAAGGAAGAAAAATATATAAGTGGATGTAAGTGCATTAAAAAGGTTCATTTAGAACATCTATTATGGGCTAACTCTGTTCAAATTCTAGATTTACAGCTGTAAATAAGACACAAAAAGTCCCTGCTCTTCTGGAATTAAGTTTTCAAAGGCAGGGGAGGAGATAGACTATAAGGAATTTCAGTAGGGTTTCAGAAAATAAAACATGATAATGGGAAA